CTAGTCCCTTTTTGCTCCTTAATCTGTACTCCTCGCTATTACATTAGACGGTAGAGAAAAGAGTGAGAAAAATTTGGATCTTTAACCTTTTTTTGCTCTCTTTGATCATGAGGGTTTGACAAAAGAGTTTCTTACAGAGATCTTTGGCATTCTGTCCACCTCCTCTCTCTATATATGTGTATAAGTGTACGTATCTACGTTGTGTTTTTTGAGGGGAGGTGGGCATACTGCCAATAGAGATCTGTTAGGGTTTCTTTGTAAAACCCATCATGATTTGATGATATATTCAAGATAAGACGATGGCTCATGGTGATGATCAAGATCACTTGATAAACTATAAGATCTAACCTTGAAGAAAAATGGGTATTATCTCAAATCTATTCTACTTCTTAATATATGTGATCAATACTTGTTCTTGTAGATCTTACTTGACATTTGCTGGCTTCTTTGATTTATCACTTAAAAGTTTGATGCTTTCATAATCTCCGATTGTGGCTTTCTAAGATTGATGACATTCACATATATATGATTGTAAAACTCATATTTTTAATTTGCAAACGGCGTTGACTAGCGTTAGGTTTGAGAATAGTGGTTGCGTTTGAGACGTTTACATCATCTTTGAAAGGTAAAATTATTCATAAAGAAAAAAGGACCCATTACTTCCGAAAAAGTACAGGTAGATTGAAATCATAGGAGAATATGGTAATGGAAAAAGAGAATTTATTCTTCCTTTTTATGTTTTTGAAGCCCACACAATGTTATCATGATGTCTATGTTTGCTTGAAGTTGAAAATCTATATATAAAGAAAGTGACTACTTGTGTTTATATGTAAAATTGCATGTTTCTATGTCATGTGTTGATATGTGTTTCAATCTGATGATATGGTTGGACTTTGGAGAAAAATTAAGTTCACTCTTAAAAGTGTATAATTTCTTTAGTTGTTATGATGTTTTTTTATATTTTTTAATGTATATGTATGTAAAGTCACAGGTTTCTATATAATGTGATGAACTGAAGATATGTGTGTTCTAACAGAAGTTTAAAAAAATAAGATGTTCTAACATTCTGTGCATATATCCTCTGAGATATTGTAGTCTTTTAATTATGCTTTCTGAAAAATGTTGTTATTTCGAAATAGATTACCACTAATTTTTTTTATTTTGGTTTAATGTTACGTACCAGTATACTTTTGTGTTTTTTCTTCTTACATTTCTAGTTATAAAACGCAGAATGAGAACCTTATAGGCAATTCCGACAATGTTGTTTTCTATATCGGATTCTTTTATTGATGAGGTTTTAGATTTTTTGGTAGTACGAATGTTTTGCAATATTTCTTGCATTATTTTATGGCGGATAGGTGAAAGCAAAATCAAGTTTCAATATGATAAAATGGTTTGGGTTACATAGTATATTTGACCATGTGTTTTTATATAAATTTTGAGCTTATTTGTTAGTTACGAAAACGATTAAGAGTACGATTAATGGATTTTAACGTACACAATAGTAACTGTTGGATGTAATATTGACCTTCCGTGACTGAGTAGATATGTATAATGCTCTACGTCTTCGTTGTGCCTATAAATTTTCCTACGGATTTATTAGGGTATGGATTTACTATACATTTTCCATTAAAAACTAAAAAGAAAACATAAATATAACCATTACAATTCAATTTAACTTTCCCTAGTAGCCTCATCATTGGAAATGTGTCAGTAGCATTTAAAATTATCCTTTCAAGGCAATCTCCAACTTTTATCTACGGCCGATGTTTATATGCGCGTGACCCTCAATTTCCCGTTCTTGTTTTTTTGCTCAACTGTACTCCGTTTACCGTTCCCCGTTACGTAGGTCAAAGTTGCTTTGATTTGTTTTGTTTGGTCAATTCATAAAAACTCCATTAACTACTTTCTATTCGGTAAGTCTATAGTGTAGCGTATGATTAAAATCTTCTGCAAACCTGCGTAGTAGTCTTTAAATAAAAAACAAATGCATCACTAGTCCAAAATCTACTTTTTAGGAAGGAAAAAACAAATGTTTCCTCCTAAACGTTGAAAAGCATTTTGTCACTAAAGTGTACATTTTTAGGAGAACTTTGACTCGTGAAAATCGAATTGATGAGCCTTTTGAGTTATGGGCTCAAAGTTTAGAAGAGTAAGGTCGAAAGGCTTTAACTATAGAACAACAAATTGCTATCTATTAGGGGTGAGAAAAAA